GGGTATGCACTTCTTTTTATTTTATGACAGATGTGCTACACCTGAAGTTACTCGCGATGACACAATAAATATTTCTTCAAACTTAAATATTATTTGTCCATGACAAGATAACGCAATAGGTGGCTTTTTATTTACGAAAGTAGTATAAAAAATTGTATAATGAGTACACTTTACTGTTGTAACCATTTTCTACCTACTTAAGGATGAAAAAGGATAATGGGGTGCCTATTACGAAATAGATTTTTCGTTTAAAATATAATAACTATAATTGTGACAGACATTTATTTTTTTATTTGATTTAATTTTTTGTATTTAAGTAAGAATTATAACAGGAAATCGAAATTAGAGCAGTTTTTCTTCTGTAATTGTCTGTTGCAGTCGAAACTACGTCTTATACATGTGTGAAAAAGTTGGAGTTCAGTCACCAGAAGTTAAAAAGTAGATGAGAATTCGATCATAAGATTGACAGACAGGGATGAACTTAAATAAAATCGTTAATTAAGAGAATAGCCACGTAAGGGATTTTAGAGATGATAATGCGTTGAAATTTAGACATACAGTGTAAACACTTAAGGGACTGAACATTTTTCGGCGTTATAAAGAGTGGTCGTTAAATGGAGAGAAATAAAAGATATTATTTTACTATTCTGTAATAATATGCATTTACCAATATAGTACACATTTTGCACACGAACATTATTATTCATACATTGCGTATAGCCTGTTATCTTCGTCTGATGTTTTTTGCTGCTCCAATATTTTAATTGTATTTTGTTACGTATCTTACTCATATCTTGAGATACTGCTGGATCAATTTGATTATATAAAAAGTATTTTTTTAATAGTTTCGCTGCATCAAGTGCTTGTTTGATGCTTGGTGGAGGGACAGGATCGTCTTCTTCAACAACGTACACAGCTGCAGTTCTTATCTATTTCGGCAACTTAGAAAGTACTGCTTAATGATTTATAATGCGGCATTGTTGTCGTTAAATAGAGTGAGCGTGACGCTATATAGAGTGTAATATTGTACAGAAAACAATGTAAACCAACCAGTCAGGCAATTTCGACGTTTTAAGGAGTTTGTCGTTAAATCGAGTGACGTTATAAAGAGTTTACACTGTATTTGATTGTGCATGTGGAAACTATAAGAAAGCACTAAATAGTCACTCATTTGCGTCCAAAATTTACAAACACCCACTAGTATGTGTATTATACATATGTATATAAAAATAGCTGATGACCTTCAAATTATCTACCCGCTCTTTCTAAAATTCAAATGTCTATTGGCACTGTACAATATTAAAATGTCAGTTATTGGCCTTTGTACAACTTCCAGTGAAATTTTCATAAAAAGTACCATTTTCATATGCATATACAGCCAGAAAATTAAAAATTTATTCACAAGAAGACGGTTTAACAATTTTAATGAAATTATGCAACAACTCTCGAATTTCGCGAGTTATACTCATATATTGTAGTATTTTGTTTAGAAAGTTAGTACTTAACAGATAATTTATGACCATGGCCATGGGTCACGTCAATAATTTATTTGATAGTTTATGAACGATTTTACTTTAATGGACATATACCGTAATAAACGTGTCGAAACTATTTAATTGCATACGCAAATTCGGAAATCTGACAAAGATGGTAGCATCTGCGATATAAAATGTGAAAAATAATCTAACAACTATCTGTCGAAACATTCAATTTATTTATTAATTAAATGGATAGTAGTTGAACTCAAGTGTGAACAGCAATTGTTTCCTACCCCTTGACTAAATTCTATAAACAGAATAAAATTATTTCTCCGACATTACTTCACACAATTTTTTGATTTATGTATTATGTGTTAGGATTAGTCAAGAAGTCAAGCAAAAATAAAATACAGACACAGTACCTATGCATATGCAGTTAATTACATGATAACCGTTACTTTAATATGAAAACAAAAACGTGTAATCAAAATAAAAATCCAAAATCATAGGAACATAAATTGCAATAAAAAATTTGTTGAAGTTGAAGAGACAATAAACTGGCAACAGATTTAGGTTATTGAACTATCTTATGTAGTTTTTTCCTGGGTGGCGGTCAAACAATTACATAACTATATGTTTTTTGTAACGTTTCGGTTCATTTAACCAAATTCAGACTGAAAAAAATTGTTTTTTACTTATGGTTGTACTAGTTAGGTGTTATACATTTGTTTGTAAAATATAAATATAATTAATAGACAAAGAACATACTTTTGGGAGTGTTACTGCTTGTACACAGATATCAACATATTTGTAAACTTTCTATCATGTTGAACAACTGGATACTAGTTCTGAATGTTTAGGCAAAGCAGTAACCCATCATCTGGTTTATGGTCTTTGACCATTTATTTACATTTTTTGGTTTTTCTATATATATAATTGAAGTCTTATAATATATTTTGTTAATGTTGTATCCGTTCTATTACACTGGTCAACACCATTTTGTTTCCTTAATTTTTTGACTGTTATTGGGTATTTCTATACCTCTGATTATGAAAAAAATATTGGATGATTACTAACAGCTTTACTTTTTGAAATATAAAATTTTACTGTTTCGACTAAGTAATACAAAAAAATTACTGTACATGTAAGCTAAATTTCTATTCTACACTATCAAATGATCTTTTAGACAATTTCCTTAAATAATCGACATCAGGTTGATCTTGTTGCATACTCCAACAGCAGTCGGCTATCATATGAGAGTCCTACTTTCCTTGATAACGCTCTTCCATTGTCCGTATATCCTGATGAAATCTTTCACCCTGCTCCTCACTAAAATCAGTCAGATTTTGTGGGAATCGGTNGTGTATTTAAAAGCATATTATTACTCAATTTAATAGTAATAAACATTGCCATTAAAACAGAATTTTCTGAAAGTTAATTGTAATTATATGTACGTCTCAGTGTACCTAATTGTTTTCGCATATTTATCAGTAAATTCAGCAATTACTTATAGGGGTGAGACATTAATTGTCACCATAAGCACATTAATAACAAATATTTATAATACGACAATGTGATTTAAAGAAAGTATGATGTCTTTAACAATTTAAATGTTTTACCTATGAATGTACGCTGGAGTAAAAACCCACAAAAATTGAATTATTTAATTTTACATTTTAAATACTTTATGTACGATTCGATGTATACAGCGCAACATTGTATACCTGCAATGAGTTGAGTATTGTTTATTAATTATCTAATTAATTGTTAACGATAAAATTCACTGTCAATTATCTGAGTCAGTGCTAATTGTTTTCAAGTATCTACTATTATATTTATTTATGCAGTGCGTTGAGGTCCTACAATACATACATACCGTAATTATTACAAATGTGTGTAACACACGTACCTAAGCCTGTAATAAGAATGTAGTGTTTTACCTGTGGGTACATACATATGTGTGTGTATAAGGTACAACCATATAAACATACCATTGCGTAATCAAATACATATATCCACTTTTACATGAATAAATAAGTATCCGACATCGTTAAAAAAAACTGATTTCCAGGTTCAAGGTATCATATTTATATTTAATTTCGAGTTCAACTACTAGAGTTGGGAAATTCGCTTTGGCTTCTTAATCTAATCTTAAAGTAATAAATAAAATCGACCCAAAAATACACATTTAATCTCGTACTTTATAACGGAGCTTAAAAAGGAATCCTATTGTGTTGAAAAATAATTTTAAAATTTTTAGAAATTGTGTTTCCTGTTTTTCAGTGAAAGTAGCGGCTTGATTACATTTAACACGTCAGCTAAAAATACAATATTGAGTTGTTTTCTTGGAAACGGTTAATTGCTCCGAAATACAAAAACCTTTATATGCAATCAACCAGTTAGCTCCTATTGTGCTTTTTAGCGTCTTTCTTTTATAGAAATGTTGTATCGCTTTTAAATTGGTTAAAATACATTGTGTGAATGGTATTAATTTGCCGAATACATAAATTGTAATTCTAACTTACATTGTAAGTCCTTACATGCGTATGTGGGTGCCACAAAGCAAATAAATTTTATATTTTACACAAAACGAATGCTTATACATAAATATGCAAATATGGAGGTATGTGTGATCGTTAAACATTCATTGGTATTACACATAACCACGCAAAACTGATAAGCAAAATGGGAAAATAAGGAATTTTATGTACTTAATATTGATGAAAAGCATGTCGGTACTTTTATAATTTTTAGAAGAATGTTGTTCTTTTTCCTTTACCAAAAGAAACAAAGAAATTTGAATCACTAGCTACACAGGGTACCAAGGTACCTAAATATAGGAAGTATGAAACATAAAAGATATCCGGTATCACAGCGATAATAGAATATGATAACGGATATTAGGGACAAGAAGGGGCGCAATAATAACTTAATTAGAAACGAGTATTGGCCTAAGCAGTGGTTAATATCGGAACTATGTCAAATAAACCCTTGACCGAATCAGATTTTTCCCAACAATTTAATAATTCGGCCATTCGTTTTCACACCTGTTGAGTACGCTTTCTAAATATAAATGTTTTGTATTTGCCTTGACGACCTGAAAATGTCCTCGATCCCAATTAGATAAACAATAAAAAACCTGCTTGACCAATCCACCCCTATCTTTTTCATTCCGTATCATACGGGTCACATTCCCGGAAAGTGTTACAAGAAGTCAAAAAGTTGTTCTCTTTTTTGAGGGGGGTCAACCACCCCACGTTAACTTACACGTGTCGACTCCCCGTGCTGGGCAGCGATCCTGCTGTGAAGTAGACTCCTCCAACAGAAACACACCCAGTTTTACTCCACTGGGCTGCTGTTCAAGCCCTCTACGTAAGCGTACAAGTGCAGCGGCCCAAGTAAGTCGTGAAAGCGGCTCTTACATAGGGTTGCGCGAGTGTTGAACGCTCAGCGCCTAGACCACTAGACATCCACAACACTCAAGGTCATCATTGCCGTGGTGGTGGTGGTATTCTCAGCCCGACCTGCGCGGGGATCGAGTTGGATTTAGTTGGTCGAAGGGTGCGCACCACTGACTTTTCTCCCTGCTCAGCTAATTCGCCACGAAATGTCGGGTGTTTAAGTTTGAAAACACTGTCAGTTTGTTACTTGTGGTGGTGTTTTAGTGTATGTATGTATATTGTTAGTGAACAAATGTGATATAACACGCCACGGTTAGGTGTTTTTGCTACAAGGACAAGCTATTGCGTAAGTATCTTGCTTTATTGGTGAATTGCTCACACCCTCTGCCCGCGCGTGACATAAGTTCTATGTTTGGACTTTAAACAATATTACGGACGTATCATAGTTGCGCAATAGAACGCAAAATTTGTTGAATTCATAATTTTTTGCTGTACTTTTTGAAAGACACCCTTATTATTTACAAGAAACTGTGCCCTCGAAACAGCGGTTCACAGAAAAAAATCTGGTTAAAAATAAACCGCGGAGAATCGCGATAGCTGTACTAAATATCCGCTTAACGGTTGTTTGTATTACAATCGCCTGCAGTCAAATTAGAATCGAGGGGAAAAACGCGAGTTGGATTTAAAACTTTCGAAGACTTGGCGGTTCGAATTCGGCTCACCCCGAGCTACCCCGATTTTGTCCGAGTTGCGAGAGAGACAGCGTAATTCTAACATGGCGGCTTAAGAGTTCTGTGGTGATTTTCATCCTAGTAGGGATTCAACCCTTTTGTTTTAGTGGCCCCGTGTTTACAAGGTAATTTAAAATTTAAATTATATTCACGGCCGGCTCGCTTGCGACAAGTGACATAGCTTGAAAGTGCAGGTTTGTTGTGGGTTTCGTGATCTAAATGAATTAGGGTCGACGACTTCATTTACCCTGGCTTTAAAATCAATATTTTTCCGTAAATGGATACTATATCTATTTTATTTATTCAAGGTGTATTTTGTTTTTGATTAGTAGCATGTTTTAAACATTTTTCATGAAGGTCTTGCGTAGCTGTTAAATTTATTAATGAAAAAAGGGTTGCACAAATTAATGTTGACTGCGTAGCAAATTATTGAAGTAGGCGGGGTGTTGTGATAATGTTTTAAAAATGGCGGAGGGCAACACTCGTTTTCAAATAAAAAGGCGAATAATTTGGGTTAGCAATAATTAAAATATACTCACGATTTGTAAAGATCTTGCCGTCGACGTTCTGTTATGCAGCAGTTTTCTGGTTTTCCGCATCGTTTAAACGCCGGTGATGTAATATTGAGTTCATTAACGGATGCTCGGAGACACCTGTGGAATTCATATCCTATCAACTCTTGTTCCCGCTCATATTTAAACTCATTAAATAATTCATTCACCGTTTTGGACGTGCATGTTTGTTTCGGAAACACTATTATGATATATTTACTTTAATCTGATGTGTTTGTAGTCATTATATCTTTACAGTAGTTTTGAGGTTATGTACGTGATATTTCAAGATTACATACATCAAGTTTTTGAAAACAAACAAAATGAAGCGTTTAATTTATAGATTCTATCTTAATTTTCAGAAAAGGCCAAAACAATCTCTTCCAAGTGGTTGTGCAGCAAATGTCTAAAATTAATTATCGATATCTACAACCGTCATTGTTTCGTCCAGGAGTAGGCGCTTCAGCACTCTCTAATATGTCTTCCCAACGTTTCTGTTTGAGGTGGAACAACCACCAATCCAATTTATTGTCAGTTTTTGATCAGCTTCTGCACGATGAAAGCTTTGTTGATGTCACTCTTGCAGTAGAAGGACAACTTCTGAGGGCTCATAAGATGGTTTTATCTGCATGTAGCCCATATTTTCAAGCCCTGTTTGTTAATCACCCTGACAAACATCCCATTGTAATTCTCAAAGATGTCCCATATAATGATATGCGCAGTCTACTTGATTTTATGTATCGAGGTGAAGTTTCGGTTGACCAAGATAGACTTACAGCCTTTTTGAGGGTAGCAGAAAGTCTTAGAATAAAAGGTTTAACTGAAGTCAATGAGGAAAAATGTGACACAATTACATCTTCTTTGATGCAACAACAAGGAAACAATCTTCCACATTTACAAAGGCTACAGCCCCAGAAAAGATTTGGAAATACATTAAATATGTTAGGAAATGCTCTCATGCAGCCTAAAAGGAAACGAGGTAGGCCTAGGAAACTTTCTGGTAGTTCGAATGGTGTTGAAGATTATGATAGGAATGATTCATTAGTGACAGGAAGTCCAGAGATGTTAGAAGTTAAAATGAGTATGGATGGTTTTTCTGGTCATAATTCTGACTCAAGTAGTGGAAAGCCAGACAAGGAAGAGACAGATGAAGTTAAAGTTAAGAAAGAATCAGAGCCAGTTGCTGGAACTTCCAAAGAACAACAAGGATTGAACAATTCAGTGCCTAAGAACAATGATACAGAAGCACAAACTTCAGGTAAGTTTAAATTGATAAAAAAATAAGTTTTGTTCTGATTTAGGAAGTAATTTTTGAAGGCTCTTGGTGAAACAATTTAATTAAAGGAAGGTAAAAACATTTGGAATGGTTTCACTTATAGAAATATTTTTAACTTATTAGGGCATTAAGTACTGCAATTCCAATACAGTTATTTTCTTTGAATCCTACTCAACTTAAGTAGTATAAACTTATTAACCCAAGAGAGAGTTAATAATTTTCCCTATGGAAGGTGGTGTAACAGTTTAAAATTATTTTTATGGGTCTTTTTATATTCATTTAATGGTAACTATTATTGTAAGGAAATGCCATTCCAATAAAGTGTTTTTATACTCTTCTATTATTAGATAAAAAAGAAAAATTAAGAATTATTGATGAAGTACAGTTTTCCAGATCCAAATCACTATTCAACATAATTGTATGTTTTATGTTGGTCAAATCTTTAAAAAATATAAAGGCCAACTTTTGTGAATGGAGAATTGTCCTGTTAATTAATTTGCAATAAGTATTCTCAAATTGAATTACAAATTGACTTGATTAGTTGTTTTTTGTCTTTTAAAAAGTACTAAGAAAATATGTTTTAAGTTAAGTTTATATATTCAAGAGAAAAAGTTTGTCAATTTGTAAAATTTGGTTTTCCTAATTAGCATCACTGATGTATTGGTGACACATGTTGTTGACTTAAAAGAACAGTAGTAAAAAAATTCCCACCTGCATTTTTTTGCAAATGATGTGAATACATCAGCAGATGCTTTTTTGAAATATTTATGTATAATGTTTGTATCTAGGGGAAAGATAGTTTAATCGAATATAAGACATATTTTTTATGAGGGAGAAAAGCAAAATAAACTAATTGTATGTAAAGTATATTTATGGCCTTAAACAGAAAAGAATAACATGCATATTTTGTTTTCTGTATTTCTTCTTGAAAAATGCAGCCAAGGACACTTATTTCACAATTAAAGAGTTATTATCGAATAAATGACAACTTTAAAGCATGTATGGAAATCAGTAATTTTTTAGTGGCATATCAGGTTGCAACGTTGCATTACAAATTTTTGCAGGTTACTATTTTACATAAAATTAAATGCTGATGTTTGGTCTTATTTCTTATTGGTTTAATTATTTAATAATTTTTATTTTTTAAATACTTCCTGTAATTTACCATGACCGCTTTTTTCCCGTCACAGTATTTTGTCGTTTAAATACTTTCCGCCTTTGTATCGAGTAAGAACAGTCTGTTGTTATCCTTAAAAGAAAAGTTTTTCTTTGTTGACTTTAGTGTAGTGTGAAGGGAAAAGCTATAGTGGCGGTGACGTTTTTGTGTTTTTTTGGTGTTCGAAATATCCTTCCATTCTTTTAAAGGTGAGTTATAATTCAATAATAAACTATTTTCATAAGGGAAGAGTTGTGAGGAATGAGCCACTATATGGATTCAAGTGTTTTTAAATGTTTCTGTCGAAACAATAACTTGTGGAATTTTTATAACGCGGCTTATTCCCTATAGCTTTTCCCTGTAGTATTTTGATTTAGATATTTTTTATTCTCAAAACGTTTACGTATTAGCTTAATTTCGAGTAAGATATCAAACTACAGTCTCTTATGTTGCATGCACTTTGATTGTTTATTCTTTTTTTCATTTTACAGTGACCTTACTATTTTTCTTTCCAGATAACGACACTTGTGTTTCACCATCGGCAGTGAGATGTATAGACTTTAATTCCTCTTTACATAATGAGTACAACCTTCCATACCAAGAGTCTTTAGAATCTGACGACGAAGAAGAAGCCGAAGAAAACTATATTCAAGAGATTGATTCGTCGTACGAACCAATAGATATTAAGATCGACCCTAAAGCATTTTTTAGTTCTGTGATTGATAATAATAGTAACACAAAGAAAAGGCGGAGAATGAAACAAGATTCTTACGATGTTCTAGAGGATTCCTCCGCCGGTTACGAAATTATTCTTGACGGCCAATCTTGCGAATTCCGGCCGACGCGTTACGAAAATTATACGAAAAAAATTAGCGACCCTGATAAATCTGCTCGAGATTTTTGCGTACGGGAAAAAGATAATTTGTTCAGGTGCACCGTCTGTGATAGGGTTTATACGCACATTAGTAATTTTTGTCGACATTATATGACTTCACACCGGGTTGATGTTAAAATGTTCTCTTGTCCTGTTTGCGGAAAGGACTTTACGAGGAAGGACAATATGCTCGCGCATCTAAAAATTATACATAAACAGGCGCAAGGGACAAACGAGAGGGTGGGGCAAACCGATCTTGCCACTTGAAAACAAACGTGATATTTTCATAATTTTTATAATGGTTATCTAACGATGACCGTTGTTTCCTTTAAACAAACGTGACTAAACCTTTCTGTTGATTCTGTAAAATCTTTCGGGTGGGTTATTTAACGTTAATCTATTCAGGAATTCCTAAAGATAAAAATATTAGCTGTGTAATGTATTCTTTCTAAATGATAAAATGGTTTTATAAGTTTAACTTACTGTTTAAAATTTGTTGGTCGCGTTACATTTTGAATATTATACACGGACTGAAGAAATATCTATATTATTAAATACAAATAACGATATTGAAAATAGTTTCCCTTTCTTGAGAAATCGGGTCGTCTCTACTCCTATGCATTTTATCGGTTTAGGTGCAAAAGTAAGGTGTGATAGTTTTTTAATCGATCTTTCTACCTGCTCACATTCGATGAATACTTTACACCTCTTAAGGAGGTTCAAATGAAAGCTAGTGCCTTATCTTTGCCTTTTATAATAAATAAAATCAACGTAGCTTACATATATATTTTTGGAAAATTTATCGTCCTGTTATAAATTTTTATATACGACTTACATATATGCATGTGCGTTGTAATTTTTATCCCAATTTTCTCATTAACTGAATTCAAAATAGCTAATTGCTTTAATCTACAATGTATTTATAAAATAATGACGCAGATAGTTTGTTAAAATCCATAGATTAGGTGTCTGCTATAAATTATGAAAGCAACGGCCAAAGTGTATTCTACAGATCCCCTGTTTTTGAATACAGCGTTATTTGTTCTTTATATAAGGATTTTTTATATAACAATTCTTGCCAAAATTTGCAATATATTCGGGGTCGAGCTCTTATCAAAGACATAAACTATTGTTTAGTTATACATATAGTAGATTTTATAAAGATATACTTTTTCTTGCTTTATGTATATTGATAACAATTATTATAACGTTAATGTAATTATGGGTAGTTAAAAGTGAAGTCTATTTATTATTTAGTGAGTAATTGGTAATTACAATAAATGACGGGTTAGCTACATACATAGATATATATGTTAATCTTTTTTTTTTTTTTTGTTGCAAAAAGGTATATGAAGTAGTCATAGTTGTAGTTTCCTAATAAATAAAAATTAATTGAAATGTGATTGATGCTCTGCGAAGATGCAAATGCATTTTGTTAGTTGATATTCTAGAATTATAATAATTACTATTTTTACTTTTTCCTTGCTAGATCTGTGCAAAGAGGTGGATAGTGTTTTTCTTTTTTCATAGATTGAATTAAATTAAACAAGGGACAATAATTACTGTTACCTTTTTCTTTTAATGCCAGTTGATACAAATTCTCAGGTGTTAGTAGTTTAAGTAGAACTAATGGTTTTACTCCTAATTTCTTAGTTTAAATGCAAATTGTGGTTGAAAACAACAGTCATATATGTATGACGAAATAATGAGCGATTTTAAAGTTAAATAATTCGTTGGTTTTTAAACATATTTTACATTAATATAATACTAAATCGATCAAAAGACAATGTTCTCTTTGATGTTTATTTGACAAAATTAGTTCAATACAGACAATATTGAAAAGTTGGTATATTCGCTGTGATCTGACCTTACACTTACGGTTGTCAATTGGTGAACTTTTGACTTGACTCTTTTATTTTTGTCTTGTGCTTTGTTAATATGGTGGCTCATGTAAGTTGATCTTAGGATCATTTTTAGTGATTAATCTAATCACATACACACATTAAAGAGAACATTGTTTTGATTTTTTCATGTGGGAGATAATTAGAAACCAATAAATTATTTGTCTTTAAAATTGCACATTTATCATATCTGTCACCCTCTGTTTTATATTTCAGCGAATATTGCTAGTTGTTTTTAAAAACAGTTGGGGGATAAAGTTGCTGGCAAATCATTACTGAGTGAGACATCGAGTGGAAAATAAAAAATTTAACTGAGTTTTGAAAGGGCGCGGAGATTTGGGAAGTAAAATTTAATATCTACCTCTTTGATTATGAACCGTTTGTTGACTTGCAGAATTTTTTCGTTGTAATATCGGACATTTTGCAAATATTGATATTTTTGAAAAATATAATTACATGTTAATGTACGCAAATAGTTTATTATTTGTGAGAGAACGTTGTGGCAATAAATTGTTATTTTTTAAATGTGTAATTAATATTGTTCTCGTAAAAAAATGTCTTGCCTTTTTTTTAACATGCCTTCCCTCGGAGATATAAAAAGGTAATTTTTGCAATCGTTTCAATAGGTATGTGCTATAATTTTTAGCCTCTTTATTGTTGTATGTCGTATACACGTTTTTTTATCTTGCACTGTTATTTTTAGTTACCTACCTGTTGTTTTCATAAGTAGTACTTGTTTTAAAGTAGCATTTATGAAATAAATAGACTATAGCGAATGTTATTTTTTTAGTTTGTTTTTTCGTTTTCCTTTTACCTCTTGTTTATATAATGTATTGGTACAAATTTTGTTATCCTGTTGAGTAAGTTTTTATATGGGGTTGATCAATTTGTAATAAGTATTTGATTCCTTTAACAATTTTTTTTTATTTTCTCCCACTCTATATGAGGTCGATATGAAATTTTACAACAGTTTACGATAGACAACTGCAAGCTAGGAGGTTAAAAAGTATTTTATTTATACAAATGATTATTGAAAAAGTAAGCCAGAATTTTATTTTGCTTGTTTTCTTTTAAGAATACATTTTTTGTTGAATAGATTCTGTATTACGTATTATTAAGCATGCTCTTATATTTCGTTTTTGAGATATATTTTTTTTTATACTTTAAAATGCCAGTGTCGCTAGTTTATTTTGTTGATTAGTAAATTATTATTTAATATTTAATAAAACAGATTTTCTGCAAAAATAATTGTAATTTGGTTTACAGATGGACAATCGTTACTTCTACCGAAGCAAGAAATTTTGGAGCCTCATAATTCTTCTCAATCTGATTCCCAATTAAATGCGTCCGACAATATCAACAATAATAACAATAACAACTCAACATCGGCTTCGACGAGTGCATCAACTTTAAACACTCAACACCCCATGAATGCTCCGTCAGGTCGCCAGCCTGTTAAGAGGCGACCTAGACGAAGGGCGACATCTCAAAGCCAAGATCCTGCTGAACAGTTGACCGAAATGTCCGTTCGGGGTCTTAATCTCTTCAGGTATGCGTCGATAAACGAGGGCGTGTATCAATGTACCGAGTGTGCAAAAGTTGACGTGCAAAAAACATTTAAAAACAAGTACAGTTTTCAGAGGCATGCCTTCCTCTATCATGAGGGCCATCAGAGAAAGGTATTCCCTTGTCCGGTTTGTCAAAAGGAGTTTTCCAGACCGGATAAGATGAAAAATCACATGAAAACAGTGCACGATTGTTTTATGCCGAAAGATTGCGTTTTTCCAATGGGGTTTTTTCTCCCACCGCAACCACAGCTTTAAAATGAAAAAATAAGATATAAAATTTTAAAATAATTGCGCTGGTACGCAGTTACAGAAATTATCGGACCGATAGAAAGTACAGGCGAAGATTGGTTGAAAGGATTGATTTCGGAATGGTGCTAGTAGCTCTTCAAAATTTCGTTTGTTTTAAATTTAGGGCGGATGGTTGTTATTCAGAAACACAGTAGGAACGTTAGTCAGTCAGTCATAATTTATTTGTTTTTTCGATTAAAACGTATTTTACTGTTGACAGCACAGTAAATATTTATGTTCTTGCTAAATTGGTAAATTTACTCGTCTTAATAATATATTGTAATGGTTTTCGTTGCTGTTTTTAATTATTTTAATACCAAGCCGTAAATATTCTTTTAGGCATCAGTATGGAAGATCAAAATTTTTATGATTTTTATCTCTTAACGTGTGATGACTGGTTCATGTTCCGAAATGTGTTTGCTATAATAAAAATATATTTAAGTTGAAAATTGAACAGCTTTAATGTTTACGTTTTTGTTCATTAACTTACTAACTTTTAGTACAACTAGTTTTAAAAATGTGATTAACCAGAAATTCAGTAATGGCGCATCGAATGGAGTTATTTGGCGCAGTAGAATAACATCATTTAGTAAACGAAATTCAATGTGAAGCTAAATCGTACTAGTTTATATTCATTTAATATTTTAACATTTTTATTGTTTATTCTAAATATTCTTCCTTTTTGATAATGATTTAATTTGTTAATATTATTAGGATCGGTTTGGATAGTTGGTGGGTATTTCTTTAAAAGTAGTAGTATTTGGGGCGCGTGTACATTTGGCCGGGTAATTCCCCGATACACATATATACAAATACACAAACGTATAACGTTGGAACGGTTCGTGGCCGCATCTAATGAATTATACCACACACACAATTATAATTAATTACATATATATNAGAAAGCAGTAGTGAAGAAGAAGTGACTGGACTGCACAAAGTAGACATTAATAATATTGTAACTATAAATATATTAAATATTATTTTTCGGACGTGATGGCGACACACGTGTACAATTGATTTGATATGATCGCGCCGTTCAACACGCACAAATGTAACATAGTAGGCTAGGGGATATTAATTTTAGGTGTCGGGTGGTGTGAAAAAACGTTGAATGTAAAATGTATATTATTATTGTAGATTCGTTTGATTCGAACCCCTTCGTTAATGCAATAGTCGAGAAAATGGGGTGAAATTTCCACTTTGAAGCGCTTCACTTCACAACTATTGCACATTAAATTAGTCGGCACAAATACCTGTATACACCGCGTTTAATGAATTAGCAATTAACGTTAGCAATATGTCGGTATAAAAATTAACTATTCTAAATCGGGGTGGGCGATTATGAAATTGAACTACCGGTTATTGGTTTTTGTTTAATCGTTATTTAATTTAATAATTACTTAAAAGTATTCCATTGTCTGAGTTAGGTTGGTCGCCAACATTTTTTATTGCAAGCAGTGTTAGAATAGCTTGATTTTCAAGCTATTGTAGATTTTGGTACAGAAAGGTTTGTCTTATTATTCTTTATTTAGATTAACAAAACAAAAATAATCATTTTCCTAATATAACAACAACAATCATTGTTTCCGAAACGAAACACTCAACGAATAAATGTCTTTGCAATTCTGCAGTTGTAACTGTTGGTACCATAAATTAAATAGAAATTATATGTTGATTATTGTATATGTGCTGTAAGTTTAATGTGCAATTGCTATATTCAGTGCCTATTTTGCGTTCAAACTTAAATACATATCTAAAATATTTACAGTATCAAAATGCCAGTAATGTTACGGTTTTTAATTGATAAAGTACAAGGGTTCCCAAATGGGATGGCTGCGAAATTAAGTGTGATCACATGGATATGAGGAAGAATACGAAATCTTGTTTTTTTTTTTCTAAGATCTTTTTAATTTCAACAGAAATGCTTTAAGAACTGTGGTTAGAAAATTGATTTACATTTTTTTTTTTAGTTTTAAGTTGTTTGCTATGTATTTTGTTTTTTAAATTGCTTTATTTTTTGTTCGTTAAAAGTAGGTAAAAATTAGTTTTGAAAGGATGGTAGATAAGTAAGGGTTGTTTGTGATCACTTGAAATGCAATAATTCCAAAAAAAAAAAAATAAATATATGTATTTATAAATGTATATCGAGTTCAATAGGGAAACTGATTAATATTGGTGGTAATTGAAACAGTAGAGAC